CTCAAAGGCTCAAAGCTAAAAGCTAAGATTTTTATATATGCCCGTGGCAGCTAGGGCTTTGTTTAGCAACTCAAACCGTGCGTGGGCTCCGGCTAGGTCCGAGTTCAGCAATGTACAGTGGCTCCAACGACGGCGAAGGCATGAGGCCGCGCAGAGGAAGATCCTTCCTGCCTCCTCCATGCTTTGGGTCCGCAATCACCATCGCTTCATCGGATCCGGCGCCGGACTCAGATTCGAAGCCCTCATGGAGCTTGAAACAAAAAGAATCTTGCTTCATATTTTCAAAGAGAAGAACAAAAAAGTGCTGAAGCTGGCACAATCCTAAGTTTCTACAAGAAGAAACCTGAAGAATGATCTTTTAGTCAGAGGGTCCAGAGGCTAGCAAAATATCATTTTTTTAAATAAGCAATCAGATCTTTTGCTAAATGCGGATGATCTAGATGCTATATGGGTTTGCTTAAGGGAAAATTGTGTGATTGATGATGCAACTGGTGCAGAAAAGATGAACTATGAAGACTTTTGCCACATTGCCTCTGTATGTACGGAACAGATAGGGCCTAAATGTCGTCGTTTTTTCAGCCTTTCAAACTTCATGAAATTTGAGAAAGATGAACAAGGAAGAATTGCCATTCTGCCATTTTACCTTTATGTGATGAGAACGATGGGTATACCAGATTCACTATCACCTTCTCCCAATACGTCTCTGTCCACAACCCTGATTGCGCCGCCTTCAGCCACTAGAACAGCACTCTCCAGGTTATCTACTCCAGCAGCCAAGTTGGGTTCATGTTCATACCCGCCAGTAAGATCGAAGCAGGTTAAACCCAATTCATGGCCGTCCCCTTCACTGCCCAGTCGTTCCCTGTCTCCGATCCCAATCGAGCTTCTAGGATGGTCCAGAACCCACCGGGCCCCACTTTCGGAGATGGGTTGAGTGGGTTGAAAGGCACCGGCACCGGACTTGTTGGTTCCACAATGCAGATTAAGTCACGGTTGGAGATGGGGAGTCGGATTTGGGTCATGCACTTTCTCACCCACCATGTGGAGGTAAAATCTAGGTGTGAAGTGTACATTACTGTGAGTGATGGATCTATGTTGATTTTTCACTATTAGCTGTTGCTTTCCTTTTATTTACTTGGCGATTGTAAATTCATAAAGTTGAGGCCTTTAGTTAGAAGTCTGGTGGGTAGTGAACCGTGAAAAGAGGGAAAGTCCTGCCGACAGAAAAATCAGAAAATGAACGAGAAGAGCACATGGGTCATGCACTTTCTTACTCACCATGTGGAGGCAAAATCTAGTTTGGTTGGCAGTAAGCCTTGAAAAGAGGGAAAGTCTTGCTAACAGAAAAATCAGAGAATGAACGAGGAGCACATGGGAAACAAAAACGAAAGCAACAAAGGTGCAGAGGAAAGGCAAAACCAATCAAGTGAGCTGCGGGAAACAAAAGCAAAAGCAAGGAATAAACACCCACACTGCAAAAGTAAGGAATAAACACCCCACCAGAATGATGAGATTTACTTTTCTTGTTTTTGAATGATATAATTTATTTTTCATATCTTTCGGAGACATCTGTATAAACCCCATCAGAGGGTAATAATAATAAAAATAAAAAATAAAAAACAACAAAACGGCAAGCCCAAAATAATGGGCTGGAAGGTTATGTGGAGGGCAAAGGCCCATATGCCTAAAAGACCATGTCGCTATTATCACCAACCAGGTGATCAAAAGTACGCACAGTACTCCAAAATTATTCGGCACCTTGCCGCTATTATCACCAATCAGGTGATGCCGCTATTATCACTAACCAGGTGATCAAAAATACGTCCAGTACTCCAAAATTATTCGGCACCCTGCCGCTATTATCATCAACCAGGTGATCAAAAGTACGTCCAGTACTTCAAAATTATACATGAGCATTACTCATGTCAATCATACATAAACATTCATGAACAACACTCATGTCAATCATACATAAACATTCATGATCGTCATTCATGTCGACATTCATGAGCATCACTCATGTCAACATCCATAAGCATTACTCATGTCAATCAACATAAACATTCATGAGCATCACTCATGTCAATTAGCTTCAAAAGCTTCATTTACAGAGCTCTAGCTTGAAAAGCTTCATTTACAAAAGCTCCAGCTTCAAAAGCTTCATTTACAGAGCTTCAACTTCAAAAGCTTCGTTTACAGAGCTCTAGCTTCAAAAGCTTCATTTACAGAGTTCCATCTTCGAAAGCTTCATTTACAGAGCTCTAGCTTCAAAAGCTTCATTTACAAAAGCTCTAGCTTCAAAAGCTTCATTTACAAAGCTCCAGCTTCAAAAGCTTCCTTTACAGAGCTCCAGCTTCAAAAGCTTCATTTACAGAGCTTTATCTTCAAAAGTTTCATTTACAAAAGCTCCAACTTCGAAAGCTTCATTTACAGAGCTCTAGCTTCAAAGCTTCACTTGCAAAGCTTCACCTACAAAGCTTTAGTGCAAGGTATACAAATACCGCCTCTGAACAACCGCCACTTCGGCCTATATATGAATTCAATTTGAAGTCTCCAGCCAACAGACTCTATTGACTAAAGACTTGGGGGACTACATTATGTACCATTTATTGGGCCTCAATTGGGCCTCATGAAAAATACTTAGGGGACTTAGCCCATTATTTATGTATTGAGGAGCGAACCCTTATTCTATAAAAGGGACTCCCTCACTTTCATTAGAGAGCACCCATTATTCATGTCTTGAGGAGTGAGCCCTTATTCTATAAAATTGACTCCCTCACCTTCATTAGAGAGCATCGCCGCCAGCTGAGCAACCGCATCGCCGCGAGCATCACTCATAACCCATTATTCATGTACTGAGGAGCAGACCCTTATTTTATAAAAGGGACTCCCTCACCTTCATTAGAGAGCATCGCCGCCTACTAAGCAACCGCCTCACCGTGAGCATCAACTCTAGCCCATCATTTATGTATTGAGAAGCGAGCCCTTATTCTATAAATAGGACTCACTCACCTTCAACGACACAAGCCGAGCCAACCAAGGCAATATAAGCCACAAGCCGAGCAGCCTCACAACATATGCTACTTCTAGTTTATCATCATTTCAGATTAAGCACCGCCTCATATCGAGTATCAGTCATAGACGACATCTAGTTACTTCGGCCCACACATGGACTGAATTTCAAGTCTTCAACCAAAAGACTCTCTTAATTGAAGACTTGGGGGACTACTATTTGTACCATACTTAGGGCCTTTGTATATAGATCTCGTACAAATACTCGGGGGACTTAAATGTAATTATGTAATAAAGGAAGGGGCAAATATGTAATAAGTGAGGAGCTCTTATTCTATAAAAGGACTCCTCACCCTCACAATTAAAGGAGGCCAACTCTTAGGCCTGAAGCCCCTCACCCTCTCACATCCCTTCTCACATTACAGAGGTCCTCTCCCTCACAATCCTCTTAGAGAAATACAATATCAGTGTGGACGTAGCCCAAACATTGGGGTGAACCACGATACATCTTGTGTTATTTACTTTCTTGCAGATTCACGATCGGATTTACGTTGTTTCAAGACCCCTCCGGTTTTGTGCATCAACACACAGAACCATTACCTTGAGAATACAAAAGTTGCATTTTGTAGGAAAGTAAATTTTTGAATCAAAATCAATGTGAACTCAATGGTTCTTATGTGAGATATCAAAGACAAGCCAACATCATCAATGTTTTAATTTTTATACTCAACAAGATCCATTCATTGGATCATTTTATACATCAAATGTTTAATGACGAAGTTAATATCTATTAACTTATAATGTCTTAACTGAATGAATATATTTTTTGTATTGACGAAGATGGATATACCCGTTAACCGATGGGGAATCCGTTATCCGGTGAGTATGGTTATGGATAATACCCGTTAACCGATGGGGAATCCGTTATCTGGTGAGTATGGTTATGGATAATACCCGATGGTTAATTTGCGGTTATGGATATGGTTAATTTTCGTGGTTATGGGGATGGATTTAGCATTTCCGTCCCCAAACCGAACCGTTGCCATCCCTAGTTGACGACTCTAGTCTCTGGGAGGTTTAGATCATCTCCAACAAGGACTAGGATTCTCTCCCCTTCTTTTTCTATCTCCTTCCATTTCCTCTTACATTCTCTATTTTATCTTTCTTCTTCTATAAAAAAATAATATAAGATGTTGACGTGGTTTAACCGTGACCATTCAAGTAGGAGGGGAGGGAAAGAGAGAGAAAAAAAGAAGGAAGAGAATCCTAGTTCCTCCAGCAACACTATATAACTTTGTTAATTTAGCTAAAGGATAGTGTGTATAAAAGTATTACAAGCTAATTGTAGTGCACTCGTATGTACTAGACGCAAACATTGAAGGAGAAGCCTACTTTACAAGTACAATATTTAAATTATAACAAGCGAGTCATTTCTCTTTTCTTTTTTTTCTAAATCTAGCAAGTAATTGTTTATTTCGCTTATTTACCGAACCAAATAGCGAGCAGATTTGCTGCTTTTGTTTTTCACTACATTTTCCGTTTGACTAGTAAAAAAATTTCTTCTAACTAGTCTGTTGGAGACACTTTTATTGGTGACGTGCGTTTAAGATGTATCGTGCCACTATTCCACATGGCGCACTCGCACCATTTAGACATCCCGCCACTGCCAACGGAATTCTCTCTGGATCCTTCTGGTGAGGACTTGGAGATCCGTGAATCGTGTCTATTCATCGTACATCGGATGATCAGTTTTTATCAAGTACTGTTTGTGTCTAATTTTAAATAAAAATATTTAAAATCATTTTTGACCACATAATTTACGATGAACAAACATGATTTATCGATCTCCAAAATCCTCACAAAGAAGATCCGGATTCCCGCCACTGCACCTAAAATCAAAAAATGAAACAAAAATTCCCTCCCATTTACCAATTATAAAAAAAAAAATTATTATTAATAATTCTCATTATTTTTCCCCAAACAGTGAGTCGGCCTCTCAGTCTTCCTCCACAAGTTTTAGGCATTGAGCAACCGGATGAGATGAGATTGCAGAAGCCGCGGAGGCGGAGCACTATCTGTTAGTTTTACACCCTCACCTCACCTCTTGAATCGCACCTTCTTCCTTTTTCTCTTTAGCTTTTATTTCTGGAGAATCTTGGGTTGGGTTTAGGTATTTAACTGCTGAGAGAGGCCCAGAGAGAGCGAGAGAGTTGAAAGGATTCAAATTTCAATGACGGAGGGAAGTTCACCGGCCAAGACGTTTGTAGGCGTCCGTTTCCTTCTTTTGGGATTCGACCCCTTTGACAAGCACCAGGTCCTCCTTCCTCCCTTCCCTTTGTCTCTTACAGTCTTGGGAATTACAAATATCTGAAATTTCCATGTGTATGATACTATGATGTGGTAGCCTTGCTTAGTTTTGTGTTAATTGATGAATCGCGCAGGTTCGATCTAAGCTTGTAGATTGCGGCGGAGAGGATGTTGCCCACTATTCCCCCAATTGCACCCACGTCATTGTGGATAAAATTGTGTATGTAAGTCGCTTTTTTCTTCTAATTGCTTCTCCAAGCTTCAATTTTGATGCTTTAATAAGTTCATGCTATGTCTTGTTTTCTGTGATTATCGTAGAATTATTGAAATAGAATGGTGTATTATCTGCATTTTTGTACATTTTGTAGGATGATCCCGTATGTGTTGCTGCTCGAAATGACGCCAAGACTCTTGTCACCGCTTTATGGGTTCATCATAGTTTTGATGTCGAACTCCCCATTGATCCCACTTGGGTGAGTTTTTTTCCCCTTTCTCAATCCTACTTGTCTTATCATTTTCCAGTTTTGATCCTTTCTTTTCTTTTGGGATCTGGCCTCCTAAACGTGTCCTCATTCCCAGTGAAGTTTGCCATTTATTCATTTAATTAATACATGATAAACGAACCTTGTTTATTGAAACCCCCAAGGTTTTAATAATGAAAACTACTAGCCTAATAAATGATAGGTTTCTATGAAAACCCTAGCATGCCATAAACATCTCAAATGACATATCGTGGAAACCAAAGCATCAAGAGTCTCACAGATCATCTCGTAAGCGCGGTGTGCTACCAGTAAGATCACTGAATAATAACACTTCCGGCCCAATGCCTGCACCTAAGTCTCTGTGCCTGTAGCCAGAGATAACTTCCTCCTGGCCCAATGCCTGTCTCCGTGTCCCTCAGCCTTTCGCTAGGGATTATTTCTCCCGGCCTAACTGCCAACACCAGATCCTCACCCCAGGCAGCATAGTGTCCACTAGGTACGCACAAATAGTTACACCTTTAAAATAACCACTTCATAGTATAAAGTCATTCATCGTCTATACTATAAGGGGGTTTCGAAAACATGTTCTAGCATCCTATCGTCATCCATCGGATAGTCTACCAGTTCATGATTTTTATAGAAAATACTATATATTAAAAATATGGGTAAAATACAAAAAATTACCTCAACTAATGGTGTCACGACACTTTTGTACCTCATCTTTTAAAATTGACAATGTCATACCTCATCTTACGAATTTGTGCCAATGTTATACCTTCTGTTAGGGTTGGCGTGAATTTCTTAGTTAAATGCTGACGTGGCTTGATCCGAGACCCATTCTATTAAAAAATTATTAAAAACTAAAAAAATTTATTTCATATTTTTTAAATATTAAAATAATAAAAAAAAGTTAAAAAAAAAAAAAAAAAACCTAAGGTCAGTTCGTCCTTCCCCTCTCTCTCTCTCTCTCTCTCTCTCTCCCCCATCTTCCTGCAACCTAGAAAGAAGAAGAGGAGGAGGAAGGAAAAAAAAAAAAAAAAAACCCTAACCTAACCTAGTTCTCCCCCCCTCGCCAACAAACCCAGAAAGGAGGAAGAAGAAGAGGAAGAAGAAGAAGAAGAAGAAGAGAGAAGAAAAAAAAAACCCAGTTCGTCCGTCCCCTGCCGCACCCACCCTCTTCCCTCCACACCCATTCCCCTCATTTTCTCCGCGCCCAAGTTCTCAACCTTCGAAATAGGCCTGGCAAAGGTTTCTTGATTCCACCTCAACCGGATCTGGGTTTTTTTTTTTTTTTTTTTTTTTGGGTTGCATGTAGTGGGTGTGAGGTTGGGTGCAAAGGTGGGGAGGTTGGGTGTGGGGAGCGGGTGGGGGAGAAGAGGGGGGTGGGGAGGGGGGAAATCAAATTGGTTTTTTTTTTTCTCTTTTTTTTTTTTTCTGGGTTGCAGTTGCAGGAAGGGGGAAGAAGATGATGATGGGGAGAAGAGGGAGAATGGGGAGGGGACAAATTGACTGAGTGTGGTTTTTTTTTTTTAATCTTTTCTTTATTATTTTAATATTTAAAAAATATTAAATATTTTTTTTTATAATTTTTAATAGAAAATGGGCCCCAGATCAAGCCACGTCAGCATTTAACTGAGAAATTCACGCAAACCCTAACGGAAGGTATAACATTAGCACAAAATCGTAAGATGAGATATGACATTGTCAATTCTAAAAGATGAGGTATGAAAGTGTCGTGACACTAATAGTTGAGGTAGTTTTTGTACTTTACCCAAAAATATAGCTCAAAATAGGCCTACAATTAATTCCTCACCAAAAACACGAGGCGAAAATCAACATATTCAATAAACATGCTTAACATAAAATCAAATCATAAACTCATAAGGCATGCTATTCATTTATGCAATTGAACTATAAAATCATGTAATTTTAGAAGGGGTCCATCCACATTACTTAGCTTTTAGAAGGGGTCCATTCACAGTACTTAGCCGTTAAAAACTGCGCCACTAGCGAAGATAGAAACATCACAATAATTGCCCCTAAGCACATAAATAGCACATTTAATCAAACTCTACTCAAACGATTTAATTTGGGAAAACAGACATCGAGAACGGATTCAGGACGTTGAAATTAGTCTAGGAGGGGTCTCGTACAAAAACTGAAAGTCAACGGTCAACTGTCAACGTTGACCAGGTCAAAGGTCAACCGGGTCAACGGGTCAGTCAATTGGGTTAGACTAGGTTAACGGGTTTTGGGCTTGGATCCGAATTAGGGCTTAGGTCCAAAAGCCCAAGGGTTTAGAGATTGGGCTTAAAGCCTTTATCAGAAAATGGCCCAAGGGGCCCTATTTGATTTAAAACAAATTAAATAAAAGAAAATGGGTTTTGGGTTGGGCCAACTGCCAGAGGTTCTAGAGAACATGGCCCGAAGGCCTTTTGAGCTTTTAAATCAATTAAAATTAAAATAAAAAGGGAACGGGTTGGGTTATTGGAATGGTTCACAACGGGCCTAAAGCCCGTGGGTTTTGAAAACAGCTTGAAGGCCTGATCTCGTCGGGAACGAACACCGGAGCTTCTATAGCTCCAACCGACTGAAAACGAGGGTCCTAGACTCCAATCTAGGTGCCAAACGAAAGCACAAGGTGAGAGGAGAAGCATACTACCTTTGGTTCACCGTAGAACGGTCGGAGGTGACCGGAAAATCCTTTGACACCCACGGTTTCCCAGGAAATGGGTGTGCCTTCCCCCGAGTCGATTTCGTTCTAAAACCTTGTAATTTAATGAGATAAACTTAATAAATCTCATCTAAACTTCACACTAGAACGAAAAGAAAGGTAAAATCGAACTTACCTAACCACAAAATCGAAGGAATCTCGCCGAAGAGTTTCGGGGTTCGCTGTCCTCATAGCCACAGGAAAGAGAGAGAGAGAGAGAGAGAGAGAGAGAGAGAGAGAGGAGGTTTGATGATGATGATGGGTTTCCTCGAGCAGGTATGCAATTGCATGTGTGCGTGTGTGGTCACAGGGAAGAGATGAGAGAGATGAGGGTTTCGAGAGAGAGAGGAAAGGGAGTGTGCAGAGAAAGAGAGAAGAAAGAAGGGGTTATGGGGTAGGAGACAGAGAGAGAACATGAGGGTTGATAGGGTGCTGCCATATGGCAGCTCAATTGGGTAAAGGAATATGGACTAAATTGATAATTTCGTAAACTCTCTTATGTTTTAAAAATTCTGATATCATTTGGCATCTATTCAGATTGTTTCAACCAAAGAAAAGAGATTCTCCACCACTATGAATTGTTTATTTGTTGGATGATGCACTCAAGGCAAGCGCGGAATCTGCGGAGGGAATTATTGTTTGGTTGTCTGCCAATGATGGAACATGGCTTCGTTGCCACCGTCTCTTGCTTCAAGACACATGGCTTTAGGTTTCTTAGGTATCCTGTGTGTTGACCTTCCTTCAAAATCAAGTCTAGAGGAAAAATTGGTTTCTGTTAGCGGTGTCTCTTGCTTCGAGGAGACTATTCTTTAGAATCGAGACTATTCTTTAAAAATTGGTTTCTACAAAAGCTGCCCAACAGGATCCTCTCCTACTTGGGAAGAACTCGACGACCAAATAGTGTTGTTCATTTGGTCTAAGAGGAGCAGGCTTCCGTTTTCTGATATTGTCAAGGATCTATTTGAATCTGCCGGAGGATTTTCTCTGTCGGCCACCCATACAACAATATCTGGAAAATTCTTGTACCATGTTCCTAAATACCGAAAACTGCCAGCAGAGAAGAGGCCAAATTCGACGCTTGCGCAGGAAGAAACCAAGTTATTCGTGCCGGTGATAGATTGTAATGGAGAAATGGTATCAACTGCCGTGGAGAGTTCTAAGACTAGAAAATGAAGTAGAGAAGTAAGGAGGATGAAAGGAAAGGGCTTCATTCTGTGTTGTTTGGCCAGAAAATGGGAAGTATTGGAACTTAATGTTTGGCCTTTGCGGCCGGCTTCTCTCCTTGATAATTTAGACTTATATTTCAGGATACCATGTAGAATTATGAGAATTGTTGATATCGCAAGATACATATATATACAAGTATATAACTTGAGGCATAAGAACTACTAGCATTTCATTTCCCATGCCATTCCACTTTGAATGATTCTTTAGAAAAAAGATAGTTGATAAATTCTCAAACTGTTCTTATGTATTAAAGTGCCCTTTTGTCGTTACTTAGTTCTACGGTCTGATGGTATTTCTCTTCACTTGGAAGTAAGAGGTCTTAGGTCCAAATCTCATGAATGACGAATTTGATACCAATTTAGGCTGCCATTGTATGGCTTAGTCGAACTCCCTTATCATAAAAACAAAAAAAGAATAACTTGTATTAAATGGTTCTACGTCTAGTTGTACTGAGGTCTGTTGCATAAAAATCATACACTTGTTGATTGCACTGGTGATCAAGTGGGGAAGTATCAATGTGTGCCGCAACCCGCTTTATGTAACTTTGACAATTATGACAAGGATTGAAGCAACATGAATGTCTTGCATCATTGGCGACAACACTCACCAATCACACCCTAATCGGCCCTTAATTCCGGTTTCCGGGCCCGTATTGACTACTAGCATTTCAACTTCAACTGATGTGAAGACGACCCTTCAATCACTAGTAACCTAGTATGAGTTTCCAACTAAGGAGTCCCCAACTCCAAGTTGTTGAACATAGATGATGTCTTCTCCTACCAGGCCATGTCGCTTGACATGTATAACTCTCATGCCTGCTGCAAGCTCCTGGTTAGTTTGAAATATGGAGGAAATACTTGTCAAAACGAAAAATTGCAGAGAAAATAGTGCAATCGAATTATTTTTCAGTCTTAGAATTGAATTATTTGACATTACAAGCAATCCTTTAACTATATGATAAAATGTGCAACTGAATTATTTGGCCCCACTCTTACAGTTCTGATAAACAATACTAAGTATGAATAAAATTTCAGATTTTATATTTCTCAATCAACCTCTCACTCAGGTGAGTCTTTCTGTTACTGACTAAACGCAAATGAATCAGCATCCATGTCAAAATACCAGGAAGTACGAATCCATGTTTACATGTGTCAATCATCTAGCTTCCACTGTTGTAAGGGTGCTTGTGCTTCCTGTCTGACTTCTACCTTTGCCGGCTAAGGTATCTTCGAAGTCCATGGAACTTCTTTCTGTGAAGAAACCAGGCTCCTTCGGTTGTGGCAATATCGCCGCCTCGTTGCTTAACATTAGAAACACCGATGACATTACTGGTCTGTCTTTTGGAAGCTTTTGAACGCATAGTAGACCCACTTGAATGCATCTTAGCACCTCAAACTCAACATATGAGTACTCTAAGCATTGATCTACTACTTCCAAGCCCTTGTTTTTGTTCCACAGTAGCCATGCCTGGAATAATTGAAAATTAAATTGATTTAGTAAAACACATGAAAAAATGAAGGTTCGAAATTAGCAAGACACAAATATAATTAAGCATAAAATACTTACATGTCCCAAAAGACTGTGATTGTGATCTGCATGATGAAATCCTCTGTTCTTTCTGCCACTAATTATCTCTAACAAAAGCACTCCGAAACTGAAAACATCAGATTTCACTGAAAACTTCCCATCAATTGCGTACTCTGGAGACATGTATCCGCTGCATGCAAAAACACATTCCTTAGGTACCATTGAAGACATATCCCTTCTGTTAGAGAAATGAAGATTCATGGTCTATGTTAGTGTAACTCACTATGTTCCAATTACACGTTTTGTTTTCGCTTCAGTTTGATTGCGTTCGAAAATCCTTGCTATTCCGAAATCAGAAATTTTGGGGTTCAGCTCGTGGTCAAGTAAGATGTTGTTGCTCTTGAGATCCCGGTGAATGATTCTTACTCTTGAGTCTTGGTGGAGGTAGAGAAGTCCTCGTGCGATTCCCATGATAATGTCATATCGCTTTTGCCAATTCAGAAGCATCTTTTGGTTTTGATCTGCACATGAATTAATTTTTGTTCAAGTTTCCTCCTCTATGATATAAAGAGAGCTGCATAGGACTGTTTAGTTCCATAAACTGCACTACAAAGTAGTAAAATCAAATTTTAGGTACATAATTAATCCAAAAGAAGGAGAGTGTTAGACCGAAAATAAAGCAGTCCAAGCTTTTGTTTGGCAAGTACTCATAGATAAGCATCCTTTCTTCTCCTTCAATGCAGCATCCCAAAAGTTTCACAAGATTCCAGTGTTGAAGATTGGCTATCATCGTAACTTCATTTTTAAACTCCTCGATACCTTGCCCAGAATCTTTTGAGAGTCTCTTGACTGCTATTAGTTCATCTTGTCTTAGGCTCCCCTGAAAATTTATAGGAAAATATTTAGTTCAGTTCGTATAAGTAGGTCAGCTATAACGTTGTTACCTTGTAAACTGGACCGAACCCTCCCTCTCCGAGTTTGTTTCTGAACGAGAAGTTATTGGTGGCAGTTGCGATTTCCTCAAAATCAAAGAGTGGCAATTCCAAGTCCTTAGGAGATGTTGAGCCTTTCAAATAGAAAAAACAAGAGGAAGAAAAGATTATGATATAAAGCAACATCAACGGATGAATTTGAAATCTAAAGTATATGCATGCTTACCACTTTTCTTTCTTCTCTTCTTCCGAATTATTAGGCGCAAAAAGCAAGTAAATCCCAAGAAAAGAAGCACAGAAACTGCAGATATGACCGAGATCAGCACTACTCGTTTATCCTTCTGAGTGGAATTACCTAAAGATCATGTAGTAAATAACATTGAGAAATTAAATTACAGATTATGCTGACTTATTCAGTAAATCTCACAAATTATTCTCTTTTGGTCTAGTTTGGTGTATTACAACTAGCCATGCTTAAATTGATGCCTAAACAAGGATTTTTTTAACTAAATATAGCATTGTGACATACAAATTGTAAGCAATAAATCTTTGTACTTTATAAAATAGGGCTGCAGAACCTAGCTAGATAACATTGTTAATGAAAACTGATCATTTACCTAGTTCGGACGATGGCATTCGAATATATATGTGTTCCGGGCTAGCTTCTTCAATGGACTCTCGCATATCAATTAGGTCGCCAAACCACATAAGGCAGCCACTCCCTCCATTCCTGACATCTGAATTAGTATAAGCTACACAAGAACAATTCTTTAAGCAGTCTGCCTCACATTGTTTCACACTCATGCTCATGTTCAACTGAAAATCCAACAGGTCCGGCAATTTCACATTTGGAACTTTCAAAAACCCATCATCCTTCTGGCAATTCAGTGATGTTTCCCTTATGCACCCACTTGTCCAGTTAAGCACCTCCCATTCGTTCTGCGACTTTGGAACATAACCCTGCAAGCACTCACAAGGGGGTGAATTGGAAATTTTGCAAAAACCATTTGCTCCGCACTCCCTGTAATTATCACACCTATCATTTTGGAGAGTATACATAACAGACCATTCAGTGCTCCCTCTGTTGAGCACCACCCGCTGGGCTAAACCCGACTCAGTAAGCTTTACTCCTGTCATAATATCAGTAGCCATGTACATGTAATATAACTCATTGGTATCATAGACAAAGATCGGTTTCACAATGAGCTCGTTTGAAGAACTTGGAAAGCCAGTAAATCGAAGACCATTCCAAGGCCCCGTGCGGTACAATTTCTCTGTTCCTTTGGCAACAACGAGTTGAGGCAATCCAAGAGGATCGATCCCATAAGTATATTCTCCAGGAGATGGATCACTAGCGTTTTTCCAAGAAGTCAAGAATCTGTTAAGACCTGTTCTGAAGTTCCACCCAATCTTCATTTTTGGTAACGAAGTGTCTGATGGGAAATCAAAACTTTGCCATACATAACTTTCGGAATCTGTTGCAGCCTTGTCTCGAACAACGAGATTTCCAGTCTCCAAAAGCTGTGCAACAGGATTTTCTGCTATTTGGGAAGACATGGTGGACCAAATTGTGTTGTTCATTTGGTCGAAAAGAGCCATAGTTCCATTTTTGGTTAATGTCAAGGCTCCATGTGAATCTGGAAGGGGGTTTTCTCTGTTGGCAACCCATACAACAATATGTGGTAAGTTCTTAAACCATATTCCTAAGTACCAGGCTTTAGAATTACCCACCTGGAAGAGTCCTAATTCGAAGCTTTGGCCTGAAGAAACTAAGGTATTAGAGCCATTGATGGATTGTGAAGCAGATATGGTATCAGTTGCTGTGGACAATCGTAAGACTAAAAATGGGAGTAGAGAGGCAAAGAAGATGAAAAAGGGAAGGCCCTTCATCTTTGTTGTTTGTCAAGAAGAGGGAAGGAGACTGATTACTTTGTACCTTGCAGGTTTTTTATTGACAAACGATTGGGTAATTACACTAGATTCATCAAAACCTCGGAAAGGGAGATTCAAACTTAAATGAGGAGAAGTACATTGTTCTACCCAACTTAACTAAACCTAAACCCGCCCTTACGGACTTTCCTTGAAGCAGCCTTTCAATTGTCTGTTGATGTGTTCAACTTCCTTGTCACATTATTTTCAGGGTGTCCATCATTCAAAAAATATCCGATCACATATTAATTTTCAAACAAAGTCTTTGTATTGACAGTATAATTGGCAAGGAAAATGCAGAAGATAGAATATTGGAAAAAGATAATATATATTGCATATTTATATACATGGTCAGAGCAATTTATAGAAAATATAGTTTGAGATATATTATTTAAAAGATGTGTGGGACTTTATCTTGCTGGCATAGATCATAAGACTTAAATAATCTCTCACGTCTTCATAATACTCGTATTTTTTGTCTATTTATACGAAGCTGGTTTCGTTGTAGCTCCTTTACACACGAAATCTTATATTCAATTTCTTCATCCTTCACATGGTTGTATAAAAAATAAAAATAAAACGTTTGCGTTATGTGTTGTTTTCTTTTTTACCAAGTCTTGTTGGCTTGGAGAACAAAATTGTGTCCTCCATTTTATACGGAACTGCATTAGAATGCCACTTGTCTTGTATATGTAAGTATTTACCCATCTATTTGACTCTTTCCAAAACTCAGCTACCTTGAAATATTTGACCGTTTTCCCAAAATTTCACAATAAATCACTACATTATCAACTATGATAGCAACTCCAGCTCCTTCTTTATCAAACCACATAATCCAAAACCAGAAAGAAGAAGCAAACTCAACTTACTCGTGCGCAATACGATTACAAGATCTAGCAGACACTTATCGAGACAAGTTTTCTATTAGTCATACAAGTTGCCCACTAACTGTTCAGCGGCTTGGTTAGAAGTTAGGTTTCTTCTTGCGCGACAAGTTTTCTATTAGTCATACAATCCATTAGGCATTTTTCAGTGCTTATAGCCTGATAGTGGCATGCTCACCACAATAACTAATCACTCAAGGTTCTTGATGCTTCAATTATCTAGCAACCATGGTCGAAAGAGTAATAGTATTTCGGGTATGGCTTCTTCCTTCTCCCATTAAGGGATCAATGCCCATCGAACTTCCTTTTACGAATAATCCAGGCTCCTTTGGTTGGGGCAATGTTGGTTCCTCATTGCTTAACATGAGA